GAATGGAAGCTGCAGCATTTTTTTTTGGTGTGTGGGATGATGCTCCAACCAACTGAACCACCCTGCTAGGACTATATTTTTACCTTAAATTTTGGACTTCTGTGTGTATTTTTCAGGTACATCTCAATTTGATGAGTGACATTTCACGTGCTCAATAGCCACATATGGCTAGGTGCTACCATACTGAATAGTATAGGTCTATGCTATATATTATGAGTGACTTATGGTCATGTACACATTCTATTTTCCAATCAGCACCAAAACAAACATTTACTTATTCCCCATCTGCTAGGTTTCTTACTTCCTGCCTTTGTCACTGGTTTTTCAGCTTCATGTCTGCTGTTACACTGCAAAATAGGTTTTTACAGGGACAATGATTATGCCTGTTAATCATTTCTTACCTTACTAAAATCAGAATATAAAAGAAAACATAGAGGACAAAAGCCTACAAGTGGTTTAAAACACCATATGTATATGATATATGTATGTGTGTGTGTGTATATATATGTGTGTCTGTATATATATATATATATATATACACACACACACAAAGATATATATTTTGTATAGTGTTTTATGATTTACCATGCCTTTTTGCTGCAATGTCTTATTTTCACAATGTTGCTGTGAAGCTTTCCAACCAATGTTTCCATTTGCTTCCTAGCACATCTGAGGTGTCAACCTGTTTAAAACTAAAATGATAATTCTTCCTTTCTGTACTTGTATTTCTTTCTGTATTCTTGAGCTCAAGGAGGGTTGTACCAACATTTATCACATCAGCCTGCCTGGGAGACAATCTAGAAACCTTCTCCCCTCTCTTGTTGCCCAACCTTATATCTAATTAATCATAAACCCTGTTCATTCTACGTTTTACATGTCTTAATTCTGAATATTTCATTTCTCCCCATATCATTTTGATGGTTGAACCCATATAATTTCTTGCCAAAACTATTAAAATATTCTGGCTCCACTCTAGTCCTCTAATCCATCCTCTATAATCCCCTTTCCAAAGCACAAATGTATTTATGATGCTTCTCCATATGAAAATTTATTTTTATTTGTTTTTTATCTTTTTGTTAATCTCAAGGATGTTTTCCCATTGATTTTTAGAGAGAGTGGAAAGGAAAGGGAGAGACACAGAGAAAGAAACATCGATATGAGAGGCCCATCAATTGGTTGCCTTCCACATGAGTCTGCAACCATGATATATGTTCTTGACCGGAATCGAACCTGGGACCCACCCTTCAGTCTGAGGGCCCATGCTCTATCCATTGAGCCAAATTGGCTAGGGCTCCCCGTATGAAATTTTAATGACTCTACATTTCTTAAACCAGTGCTTCTCTAAATGTGAATTCAAATAATTGGAACATCTTATCAAAGTGAAGATTTTGATCTAATAGGCCCCAGATTCTGTATTTTGAAAGGTGATGATGATGATGCTTGCTCATGGACTACATTTTGAGTAGGTGCAGCCTAGAGGATAAAGTACACATTCTCTAGAATGGCATTCACTAAGCCTTTTTAGATATAACCTCTATCTAACTCTCAGCCTTAAAAAATATTTCTCCTCATCTCCAATCAACCTAGGATCTCTAATCTAAGTCCTTCATTTTTGTCATGTGAAACCAACCAACATGCAACTCAGGCTAAAACCCCAAATTTAAAATTTCAGCAACTTTTTTTGTCCAACCTCATAACCCCACCCCTCATAGTCAACCTCAGCATCCATTCTGCCCTCTTGTGGCTTTTGCTTTCAAATGAATTTAGGGAAGATTTTTGGTACAGTCTTCACAATTCTATTTATTTTATTTTATTTTTTTAAATATATTTTATTGATTTTTTACAGAGAGGAAGGGAGAGAGATAGAGAGTCAGAAAACATCGATGAGAGAGAAACATCGATCAGCCGCCTCCCCCACTGGGGATGTGCCTGCAACCCAGGCACATGCCCTCGACCGGAATCGAACCTGGGACCCCTCAGTCCACAGGCCGACGCTCCTATCCACTGAGCCAAACCAGTTTCGGCACAATTCTATTTATTGGTCCAATTCCGCATGTGGTGTGATGGAGTTGGAAATTGAGGGGAAAAATGCTCAAGCTCCCCAAGGCCAGCACTGGGGCATTTATGGAAGCATGTGATGGCTTAGATCCTTTTGGGGCTGTCCCAGACAGCATTGTGAAGGAGGTGACATCTTTGGGCAATGTTCTTATCTCTCCATTGGAGACCACTGTCCTTTGGTCTCATGTAACTAACGTCATCATGTTGTCCGAGATTTCCCTTAGTTTTGCTCAATGCACCGGTCTTCTTCCTTCCCCTTTCCCATTATGGTACCTGGTTCAAGTCCTTATCCAGGTCCCACTTCACTCTCATACTTTTGTTTGTTCATGAGTTTACTAGTTTTCATTCTAGAAATACTTACTGAGCAACTGCTATATGCCCAAATTTGTGCAAGGTACTGGGGATATAGTGATGAAGGAGGTAGACATAACTCCTAAACTTAACATTGTTTAAGGGCTATGAGTGCGACAGTTAAACAATTGGGGTAAAGTGTTATTAAAACAAACAAAAGAGAAAGACACGGTGCTTTGGGAGGGTGTAGCTTACCCCAAGATTTAATATCAGATGTTACTGTGTCTTAGTTCTCACAGGTATGGCCACTTTTAAAATAACTCCTTTTATTACTGTTATTATTAGTTACTAGAGGCCTGGTGCACAAAATTCGAACAAGGGGTTTGGCCCTCGCAGCTGTGGCGGCTTGCCTTGGCCCTCACAGCCCTGGCTTTGTCCGGAAGGATGTCTGGAAGGTCGTTCAGCTGTCCGGTCTAATTAGCATATTATGCTTTTTATTATTATAGATTATTACTTTTTTATTTTCAGAGCTCAAATATTTCAACTAAATTTGGTTAAATACGTTCATTTTGTGTATTAGTCGTTTGGTTGTAAAAAACAGAAACCAGACTTGAATTACTTAAGCAAAGAGAAGAAAACCATAATAGGAGCAGTGGGCAGGGTTGAGCAGCCAGCCAGGTACCAGGGAAAGACAGATAACAGAACCTGGTACTTGAACATACCCCTCTTTCCCTTTCTCTCCATGTTCCTCATCCATGTTTCTCTGTCTTGTTTATATCTCATACCTTCTGCCATAAGACAGAAATAGACTATTTTCCCCAGTTCCAATACGAAAAAGCTCACAGAAACACTCAGTAACATTTCAGGACTAATCCTGTGTGTCCTTGGGAAAGAGCAGGCAGCCTCCACTGTGGCCATGTGATGGGGGAGGGAAGAAGGACATAGTTTCCAGGAGAAGGCAGGGGTGATGGGCACATAATACTATACGTGTCTATTTGCTATAACTGGCCAACAAGCCAGTAGTGTTTCTAAGTTTCAGACATATAGAGTGTCCAAAGAAATGTACACACCCTTTACAGCTGCTAGCTCAATTGATGTTTCTTTCTATTCAGATTTAACACGTCGGCATTAATAATTACTCAAAGTGTGTACACATTTTCTGGGGACTCCCTGTATATTAATATTTGGCTTCAGGAATAAGGGATGAAAGAAGCCTTTTTTGAATAAGTTAAGGAAGCTTGACTAAATATCAGTCCATCTCATCTTTTGAATCATTCACCTCGTCTCACCAGGGTTGGGATGCGGACAGTGGACCAATTCTACTGGGGCTGACCATTGATACCGGGCATCCCTAGGTGCTGTGATCACTGAAAGAAGAAAACAGGAGTCTTTCTAGCAGAGGGAAGACAAGCAGTCTGGGCAGTGTTTGGACTTGCAAAGACTTTCATGAGAACCGCAAATAAAAGAGAAATCAAGTGCCAAGTCACGGACACCACAGGACAGTCCTGGCAGTTCACTTGTGTGTCTGCCAAACACATGTACTGAGGGATTCCTCAGGGACTCAACAGTGTAAGATGGGAAGGCGGAAAGGAATGAAGTCTGGTGCTGGGCACGCAGATGGGCAGTAGACATGAACTAAAGTCAGTGCCTTGCCTTTGAGGCACCTTACAATGTAACCTTGATCAATACACTCACCAAAACAAAATGGAAAAGCTTAAAATCACAACGAAAGAAATCCATAAGCAAGGACAAATGAACATAGGTTACATTTACCACAGTAAAACCTCAATTGATCATAACCTTGCTTAGTCACAACCCTTCATTACCTAGAGTTTTAAAGAAAGGACAAAAAATCAGGAAATAAACTGACATCAGTGTCTACTAAGAGTCTAACATTCTACTTCCTTCTCTAATTGTGTCAAAAACAGTTTATGGTGAAAAGTATGTTCAGATGATCCATTTTAAACACTGAAATTACTCAAATAATGAATAAAATGTCTCCGTTCTTTAGATTTTTAAAAAATTTAGTTAAGCCAATGGAAAAAAAAATTAAAGAAGTGTTTAAAGGGAAGGCTTTGGAACCAGAGAAATTAAATGAAGCTGAAAAACCATTTCCTATACATTCTGGCTAAATGAGGCGGCTTTATACCTGGGTCCAAGGGTAGCTTAGATTTCTAATATATCAGCTTTTAAACCTTCTGGATTTCTAGGCAGTTATGGGGACTACTTACGAAGATCTGACTTTTGTGACATGATTACCCATCCCTCTAAAATCCAACCCTCCAAATGATACGGCTCTCTACCAAGCCCCTCAGTGTCTTGGGGAATTTCCATTGGAACCAAGCAGTTAGTGATAAATGGAGTCCTTTGGGAAATTTCCACTTAGGGGGATCTGATATCTGATTTTCTTTCCTCCAGTGCATCCTCTTGGGGTACTCTCAAGTGTGGCTTAGGGTTATTTGAGCTGCCTCCTCAGATTTATCTCCCTGTTCTATCTGTCTCAGCCCCAAGCTGCGTTGGCAGGTAGTTTGGTAACCGAGAGAGGCTGCCGAGTCGCCAACCTTCCTCCCCCCGGGGCCTTACACACACCTATTGGAGATGAGTAATATTTCAACAGCCAGGCTGCTCAGCTGCACCAGTGAGAAGCCTGTGGGACAGGCTGGGAGCCTGGAGTGATCTCCATTCCAAGCCTAGATTGAAACCAGAAACCCAGAGGAACTCAAGGATGATTTTCAATTCCCCAACTCGTTCAGCCTAAAAGCAAGTAAAAACCAATAAAATAAATAAATGAAAGAAGGAAGAAGCTGAAATAAATTGTTCCCAAGCTACAATTATTAAGCTAATTATGGAAGAAATAAAATGTAAAAATGTTAAGTAGGCAGCTCTTCTGGGAGGAAGCAATAGCTCTCCACTCGGCAACTACCCAGAGGATATCTCTAGCTATTTTTAAAAACATGTTATTAAATGGCAGTTTAATTTGTTATTAAATATTACTGTTATCAACATAATTCTTTTTTATGGTTATAAATGATGTGGTAGTGCAGGAGCTATATTAGTCAAACAAAAAATAATGTGGCTTCCATTTTCTACCATGGCAGTTGTTGATTAAATTTATATTATATTAATTATATTATATTATATTTTATTATATTATATTAATTATATTATAATTAAAATTATGCAGCTGACTACAGGGTTTTCCACAGGGAAAACCATGGGAGCAGATTGACCACAGAAAGCAATTTTCTAAAATAGAAAAAAAAATGAATTCAATTTAAACCCTATTCTCACCAGAAGACATTCTTTAATCCTTTACATGCAAATGGAACATCCAGTCAGGACATTGAGATATCCCAATCTTTGACTCACTTATAGTCCATCCAGTGTCTTTCACTGTACCAATTACTGTCAGCGTCCCACCCATATCCTCTCAGCTTTCACATTTCTAAGCTCCAGTGATTCTTTTCCTGAGGGTTTTCTCTGGTCCTGGGAGTTCACCTAATCATTCGTGGGGCAGACCAGAAATGCTTAGGAGGTAACATTTTCTGGCAGCCACCCTCAACCAGTCACTGAGGGAAGCTCTTGGTGGGAAAATAACCCAGCTGCCTCACCCCTCAATCGGGACAATGCTGAAGTGTATTCTACTGTTAGAGTTCCCCAGAGGGACTGGTCCCTACTTCTCCATATTGGTAACCTGAGATCACCTGCTGAATCAACTCTGATGCCATATCCTTGACTCAGTCTGTTTTGGGAGAACTCAACCTAAGATATCCATCAAAGGCCCAGTTTCACCCTTTCTATCACTTTTCTCCCTACAACTCCTGCCTCAATCACCTAGGGAGCAACAAGTCTCAGAAAAACTTCAGTCTAAGGTGGAAATGGGAGCATTCCCTGCCTTCCCTCTTCTGGATTGTCCTCACTACAGCCCTCCTGTAACCTCATTCCCACCTCCAGTCCCTCCCTCACCCTGACCTCCCACCTGTAAGCCACCATGGAAATAACACCTATTGCTAATTCTTGTTCTAAAACATGGAGCTGCCTTGATAAAACAGCAGATGGAAAAGATAGGTACAGATCAACTTCCTGCATACACCCTTTTCTCAATTCACCGAGACCAGAATTTCCAAGGAACATCCGGAAATCCAGACATTTCCTTTGATTGTCACAGCTGTGATACAAGTAAGCGGGGCAAATCTCTGATTCTACACCCACCACTCCTCTCCCCCCACTCCACGATTATAAATTGTTTAAAATACTTTGCTTTAACGCTGATGATATATTGCTTCTGTTACTGCTTTCTATTTATACCTCTAGTCCAACAGTTCCTGGAACTGTTGATGCATTGAGCTTAAACCAACTGCTATAATTCTGGACAAAACTGACAGCTTTTTCTCTGGGTTCTTTAATTAGGAAAGTCTTTAAGGCAAAGAACTGGGTAAAAAGAGTGCATTATTTCTTTCTAATCAGGTACTTTTATACCTAAATCAGCACTAAATTTTCCCTTGATTTGTCCTATATGTTGTTTATATTCCTAGGTGATCATTCTTTAAGTGTTTTGTTCAGTGGGGACTATAACTTTGCCAAGAACTGCATTTACTCTCATCTGTGTCCCCAACACATGTAATTTTGGACAGACCAGCGACTTTACAAGAGTCTTCCCAAGCAAGGTCTAGGACCACCCGCATCAGCACCATATGGGGTGATGGTTAAAAAGTAGATTCATCAGGCTTCCCTTTGACTGACTCAGTGCAATTTGGGAAGAAGCCCAGTAATTCTTACCAGTATGTATAGATACATTTGAAGAAATAGGTTTGGTTGTTCAAATTTGATAAGAGGATTTAGATTATGAAGTTTAAAATATGTTTTCCTTGTCACTCCCTGGATTGAATTCATGGCATTGACTCCACTAGTTGACTGTAGCTAATAAACTTTCACACTTATTCCTAGGCGTGACAAAGACTCATGCTAATCTTTTCTGCTGGCAAATGAAAAAAAAACAAAAAAAAAAAGTTAAAAAATTATTTCCAAAGAGTAAAATGTACCCATGTTTCCTAATGGAAAAAAATATGACACATGTAAGCATAACACTTTAGGGGGCAGGGCTTATATTTTAATCATTTCAATAGACCATTCCTCTGGGAGCAGATCACGAAGTTCTAGTTTCCTGACTTAGTTGATGGACAAAAATCAAGGACATTTGTACTGGGAAAGAAATGTTCTTTTTTTCTAAAATCAGTGTTGTTGATGATATCTACAGTTCAAATCTCATGTAATCTTATGTAAATGCTCTTGGTTTTTCCATTTGTTAAGATGCTATTAAGTAAACCTGATTTCTTTAGAAATAATCATGATTTCACTTAGATGTGGAATCTAATGAACAAAATAAATTAACAACAACAACAAAAAAAATGGAAACAGACACCTAGAGAAAGAGAACAGACTGACAACTGTCAGAGAGGAGGGGTTTGGGGCCTGGGTGAAAAAGGTGAAGGAATTAAGCAAAAAATCCCTACAACCAAACAAAAATCCCTACAACACAACAAAGCTCAAAAACACAGACAACAGTAAGATGATTTTCGGGGGGAGAGGGGAAATAAAAGAGGATAAGGGGACTATAAGTGGTGATGACAGGAGACTTGACTTGTGGTAGTGAATACACACTACAATATGCAGATGTTATAGAATTGTACACCTGAGACCTATATGATTTTATTAACCAACTAGAGGCCTGGTGCATGAATTTGTGCATGGGTGGGGTCCGGCTGGCCTGCTTTGATTGGTCCCAATCGGGCAGGGGAGAGGGGCCATGGGAGGTTGGTGGGCTGGCCCCAACCCAATGCGGGGAGCATTGGGGGCAGGGCTGGCCAGGGGGGAAGGGCCACGGGTGGTTGGCCAGCCGGCCCCGACCCCTGGTTGAACTCCCAGTCGAGGGGACAATTTGAATATATTAGCCTTTTATTATATAGGATGACACTCCAATAAATTCAATAAATAAAACAGTAATAATCATCATTGTTTCTTGGCCCTGGGTTTGGAGGATTTCCAAGTAAGATGGTAGAAGTTTGGAACAGAACCACACTTGGCATTATCTAAGCAGGATCATTATGGACATGTAGAATATAGCTGGCTCAAGGAAGAGGGGGAATTTTCCTTTGGAATCCAATAATGAGTGTGTTTGTGGTTGTCAGCAGTCCATTGTGAGAAAACCTCCATGTCTCCGATCAATAAGCAAATACCCTCTTCCTGGAGTTGGGAACCAGTTGTGATATCAGTATCTGCGTAAGAAGAGAGCAATAGTTATGTCTTTTGGGAACACCCAGCTTTCAGAGCAAGTGCATAGTACACATTGCTAGTGATGAAGTTCACATCTGTCAGTGATGGGAGATGGCATCTTGAGGCATTTCCCCATAAAATTGTTCTTTGGATATTGCGGTCTGTTCTTACAAAATGATATTGTTTGTGGCTTGGTACTATTGATTAGAGTCTTTTGTCAGCACTGGTTCTATATGAGAGATGTTTATACAGCAGGAGTTTATTAACAGAAATGATGAGAGGAGAATGGGCTCCTGCACTTGAAATGGTTTATTAACTCCACTGTCTTTCCAGCCTGGTAAGTTATACACTCCCTGTCCTCCAGATCTCTATCTCTTTATACCTCGCCAAGAATTTCCCAAGACGGAAGGTCTGGAAATGCTTCTTTGTCACTTGACTACCCAGCAACGTGAATGAATAATATTTTCCACTGCTTTTCTGTTTATGAGTCATTGACTGGAGGAGCATAAACCAATTTTTCAGTTTTTAAATTATTTGAACCTTTTGTTACTCTCCTCCTAATTAGTGTCCATTATGTTTCAAACCCATTTTATGAATTTATTAATAGCAAAAGTATTAAATGAAACCATAGAAACCTCTGGAGGAGGAGTTCTATGTCTTTTTTAAAAGCAAGTAATTCACTTAACTTCTTTTCTAGTTGAATCAAAAGCTTTGACTTTAATAGTTGGAAATTATCATTTAGTAACTTATTTTTTTTCAGCTTTTTAGTAGCTTTGAATTTCCACTTCTACACATAGTCTGCCAACTCCTTGAAAACAATTATTTTAATCAACCATTCAGAAGTATTTTTAAACAAGTGTATAGGTCATATACATGTTTTACATTTTCTGCCTCATTCAATATTTGGACTTCTGAAATGGTACCTTAAAATACCATTTTTGGAAAGCACTTTCCATTCCTTCATTGTGGATATCTTAATTGAACTTATTATTATTGGTTAGGATTTTTAAAACATTGATTTTTAGGTTTTCTGCTTCAATTTTGTCCTAAACCCAGCCTTCAGAGCCCAGCTGAATTTGATAATCTATAAATCCTTGCCACTCAAGATGCACCAGCCTCACCTGGGAGTTCATTAGAAATGCAAAATCTCAGGCCCCACCCCAGACCCGCTGAATCAGAATTGGCATTTTAGCAAGAGTTCATAGGTGATTCTTGTGCACATTAAATTAGAGAATCTCTGTTCTGATCTAATCCTTCCACTTTATGATGGCATTTCCAAATTAATGGGACTCAGTAGGTCGGTTTTTATAAATTACTAGAGGCATGATGCACGAAATTCGTGCAAGAGTAGGCCTTCATAGCCACGGCAGCTGCCTTGATCCCTCCCTCACAGCCAAGGTGGCTGCCTGGATCCCGCAGTTGCAGCCCCAGCTTCATCTGGAAGGTCATCCGGAAGGATGTCTGGTCTAACTAGCATATTATGCTTTTATTATTATAGATGGTATCTTTTGAAGATACCATAATAATGTGAAGATAGTGACCCCTCACCGTAGAAGGCACCTCAATGGTGTCATTTACTGCTGAGCATCCTGCTGGCAGCTCAGCCTGTGTTAAAGTTTTAAGAGCTATGGTGTCAACGTTGACATGGTGACCCCCTGGCACTGTCCTGGAACTGGAGAAAGGGTTAGAGTGTGTGTGGTGAGGAAGCTCACAGTGAGGAGGAGACACATAGCTATGACACACTATTGGCAGTAGAGATATGGAAGTAGGGCAGACAAGTGATTAATTCTGTGGGTGGAAGGTGGGTCAGAGGACAGAACAAAGCTTCTCAGAGAACATGATTTGATTTTAAGCATTTCACCTCAAGGGCAAGTTAGAGGCTGTTCCAAACAGATAAGCATGAAGACAGTGAGACAGATAAGCATCACTAAGGAAATTCACATGTTTGGGTTTTGGTAAATACAAGGTATGTGTAGTGTGTGTGTGGGGGAGCAGGGCAGTAGGTGGTCAGGAACCCATGGAAGGATGGGAAATGAGGCTGAGTAATAGTCACAAATAACCTCAGTTGATAAGGAGCTTGTCTTTTGTTAAAGGGGGCCTGGAGAATTTTAAACAGAGGCAGGGCCTAGCCAGCTTTGATGTTTTTCAAAGGTCATTCAGAATGCAGGGTAGAGAATGAACTGAATGTAGATAGGGCAGGAGTAGGTCAAGGGCGACCAGTATGGATGTGGCTGTAGTAGCCCAGGTGAGAGACAATGATTGCCTGACATGAGTTGATAACAGTATGGATGGATGGCTTGGGCTAGAATCCAAAAATAAAAAGGAGGAAGTCATTTTCTCTCTGTTACCAGCCTCTCCTCCGAACCTTGGAAGCCAACAATTCTTTGCTGGGTCTTTCCTTATTCAGAGCAAACATCTCCAGGTGTTTGAATTGCTGCTCATATGCCATGGTTTTACATGACCCCTACAGATACTTTAGTTTATTTATATCACATGCATTGTAGTGCCAAGGCTTGAAGAAAAGGTAAAATTGAGTAGGGAAAGGGAACTAAAATTACTGGGTTCCTTAGACATGCCAGGGGCACCACCAACATTGGCTCATTTAGTTTCCACAACGCTGCAAAATAAGTATTATTACCTCTATTTTTAAAGGTGAAAAGAAAGGGGTCCTGGAGGCCAAGGATCTCCCCTGTGATTGTAAGCTACTAGGAGAACCTGAGTTTGCACCCAGAGATCTGAGATACACATATTAAACTAGCTACACTGCAAGGATACTTAGAACAATTTAAATTAACACTTCTCCCAAGGTTTCCTGAATATGTAAGGTTATAATCAATTGCCTTCTCTGGGTACCTACCTTGGCTATTTAACAAATTCACTAGAACCAGAGGATAAGCAGAGAAGAC